GCGAAAATATCCATTTTGACCGCTCTCGAATGCAATTTAGCTATGTTTTTGAGTAACATCTGTACGTAAAGACAGATCCCAAAACGGATTGAAAAAGTGATTTAAAATGGGTTCGGAAGATATTTTTTTCGTGACGTATGTACGTATTTCGCAAAAGTCAAAAACAAGTAGCCTCAGAACGTTGAAATTTTGTATATAGGATTGCTATAAAATGTAATTGTGCACCTATTTGCTATAACGTGCAATTATTTGGTCGCAATCGGCCGCACCAAAAGTATATAAATATACCACTATGTTAATCTGTTCGGTGACCTCAGTTCTTTTTATACTTACATGTTGGTAAATTGTGCACTTTTTTGCTTTAAAAATGGTTCAATTATGCTATTTTTATGTTCTGTTTAAGATTTATATGCCTTTAGTTAATCTGCATGCAATAGTTGTAGAATTATTAATAACTTAAAAGTTGTTTAAGTGCAGCTAAGCCTAACTTAGCAGCCATATTTGTTTACATTTGAAACTCAGCAGAATAGAGATTTAAACCAGTTTCTGCACCTTCAGTGTGTTTTCCCCGAGTGGGACCAAAATTAATCTTTCCTTTGTGTGCACTGAAAAATCTTCTTTCTTGCGCACTGACCGAATAGCCTGTTTTTGTGTAGAAACTCTAATTTTAATTGTAAAAATTGTTTTTTTAAACTTTTTTTTCTTTCTATTTGGTGTTTTATGTTTTTCTATATTTTTCAACTTTTAATGAAGTTAATTTTGAATTTTTATGCATTTTTGCTCTACCACAAAGTGAGAACTGAAGTAACTGAATGAGAAATACATCTTTAATGAAATTCGAGGAAATAAGTTTAAATGAAATGCAGCAAAAAATGCGTATAATTTACTAGAGCGTACAAAGAAGTCATGTGATGTCCGCATCAGATTTTTTTACGATTTTTTTTTACGTAATATATTGAAATACTGATTTGGCCCGTATTTACGTTACACATGGGAAGAACCACGAAAAACCAGCCATATAATTTCGTCGATAATATAAGCCATATAATCCAGCCATATAATTTCGTCGAATCCTTTTTCTCGAGTTTGAATGAAGAAGAACAAATACAGACTTCGTAGGATGGTAACGTTTCGAAAACTTTTGTTCAAAGATTAATTGAAGACAATAAATAACCTATTGTTAATGTTAAAGCAATAGTAGTTTTGGTTTTTATTAATTTCAAACTTTGAAAACTAAAATATGTGTCATTTAACAAAAAGTGGTTTTAGCTTTTTTAAGTAACAACAGTTATCCTCAGAGTTTTACAAATTCAATTATTTTTAACGCTGTTTTACATTTTTATTTTTAATTTGTGAATAACCTATTTTGATTGAAACATCAGTCATTAACAGAAGGAAATGTAAATAAGCGAATGATTTCGCTTTACTTGGGGGAAAAAATAATTGTAAATCCTTATAATACATCTCTCATTTTCACATCTTCCTCATTTGTCAGGAAATAAAAAAATAAATTCTATCATTTCCCTTTCAGAAATGTTCAGTTTTTTACTTGTGAATAATGATTAAACAAATAAGAAGCGTGAAGTTTCTCTGGAGCAGTGAACCCTCGTTGCAGCTTTAAAAAGTGCATTTAGACGTAGCCCGCAGCGCATGCGCGAAGATTTCTGTTTCATTTTTCGTATCATTTGGAGATTTTTCTATCTGTTTGGAGAATGATTTGTAGGATTGAGTTCCAAATTCTTAATATTTATTCATTGGATTTAATTTTATAACTTTATTATTTTCTCCCGCCTTTCTGCATACCTTCGTGGTGTAATGGTAGCACACTCGGCGCGTATTCGAGAGGTCCAGGTTCGAGTTCCGGCGAGGGCTTTGCCTATTTTTCCTGTCTTATTTTTCCTGCATTAGTAGCCTAATGTCTCTACAATACGCTTTCATTTCTTCTGATTAATGGTAATATACAACCACATTACAATTTCTATTTTGAATTCTAGTGCTACAGGAATAAAATTAGTTCATATTATGCTGGACTTATAGAGGATTTATAAAGCTTGAAAACTTATGTAAAATGTTTGTAGACGAAACGAAACGCTTCTTCTACCTTTTCTTTTATAACTGACTGTCATGAAGTAATTTGTTAAAGCATTAGGAAAAGTGTACAGAAGGTTTTAAAAAGAAAAAGAAAGAAGTTGGCAGAAGAAGAAACAGAAATTTTACGTCCGGACATTAAAGGATATTTATCATGTGAAACTGTGTTACCTACAATGACTGAAGCAAAAAAAGAACACTTAAGTTCTCAAAAATATGATTAGCAAGCTTAAGATTATTTTCTCCCTCCTTTCTGCATACCTTCGTGGTGTAACGCTTAGCACACTTGGCGCACATTTGAGAGGTCCAGATTTGACTCCCAACGAGAGCATTGCTCCTTTTTTCATGTCTTCTACTTCAAAACAATCTAATGTTTGCACAGTGGCGCCCGAACTAAAAGGTGGAGGATGATGATTCTTCAAAACCAGGATTTGGCGATTGGGTCCCCTAATCCCCAGTCGCCTTTAAAATGAAAAGTATCTGAGGTATTTTTTCCCTCTTTTCTGCATGCCTTCATGGTATAACGTTTAGCACACTCGGCGCATATTAAACAGTTCGAGTCCCGGCAAGAGCATTGTTCATTTTTCCTGTCTTCTACTTCAAAATAACCGAATGTCTCTGAAAGCTGTTTTCAAGCGAATAATGTGAAATCTGAATGTGAATGTACGACGCTGACTTTCGTACTGATATGCCTGTGTTCGAATCCAGAAGGGAGATTGGACGTTTGAAAATGCATAGTGTCTGTGCGGGATGGAAGCACTCTAAATACGCAGCGAGCCAAAAGTCCTCTCGAGAAGTTGGTGGTAGGACCTTCGTAACTCTCCCCCCCCCCCGAGGGACACTCTCTCAAAACTAGTGACGAAACTGAGCTAAAGTCGGGCTGTCACCTTTATGGTGACACCTTCATTTGACTCCTTGCCACGATGAGTGTCGTGGGATTTGTCAGAACAGTGAGATTGGTGAAAACAACAACAACAGTCGCTTAGAAAATTCTAATTGTAAAAAGGGAACAAAAGGCAAGATATTTCTATGAAATATTTAAATGGCAAAGAAAAAATGTTCTGATTGCGATCAATTGTGGTAACAAAATCTTTAGCTCTACTTTCTCTACACCAGTGGTCTTCAAATTGTATTCGGTGGAACCTCCAGTGTTCCGCAAGTCATGCCCATATGTTCCGCGAGTGAAATTAAAAATTCGGCATATGACATATGTCAAAGAAAATGACGTGCAATACTTTGCAAACCTAAACAGATTGTATTTCCTTAATCGGAATTGTATTTTAATTGTAATTTATCGTAATTGTAATTTTATAAATTAAGGAAATTAGCCTGCTAATTAAGGAAAGGGATTAACTTATCAACATATCAACAGATTGAAGTTAAAATTTAATTTTAAGCAAGAACTGCTCCTATTTTTAGTTACAAATTCATGACAAAGAAGCAAAAATTTCTCACACAGTTATAAATATTTCCATGCAATTCGGAGCAACCTATATAACGGAAAAATCTTTCTCGACGTATGTGGCAACAAAAGCAAATTATATAAACAAATTAAATGCAGAATATGGAATGTGACTGCAGATAACCTCAATAGAACTATAGAATTCGATAGTTTGTGGGATTTTTTAATAACAAGTACATAAAATATCTGTAACATACTGATACACTTAATTAAAATAAAAATTACAATAAATAATGAAAATTATGAGAAATTATAATAAATAATAAAAATGAGAAATTATAATAAAATAAAAGTTATAATAAATAACAAAAAATATAGTAAATTATAATATAATAAATTTATAATAAAATAAAAATTATAGTACATTGTAATAAAATAAAATTGTAATAAATAAAAATTATAATAAATAAAATAATAAAATAAAATAATAAAAATAAAAATTAATAATAAAATTCTGGAAGAATAAAGTTCGTGTAGAACCATATATATACATTTCAAAGATTCAATTCACCTACAGAACAAAAATTTTCTTTCTATAGCCCTGATGCTATAGATGTTGCATACAGTTGTTTAACAAATAACTTCTCATGATCACAGGGATTTCATTGTAATTATCCATACGGCGGTGTTATGTAAATGTTACGTATACATAAACATGAGAGTTGCATAAATATTCTTGAAAATTATTTAAAATTGTAAGGTAACAGAGGACAGGCAGAAATCATTTTTTAGAATTGCAGGCAAATGTGAAGTAGAAGAAAAAAAATCATTATAGACATTTAAAAGAAAAAAAAAAACTGCAGAATTCAAATTTATTGCATTAGACTAAGCATTAAATGTGCATGCTTGTTTCGCATTTCGAAATATTTTAGGGAAATTCATTTTTTGGATTAGTTGTTTGCGTATAAAATTTTAACGGACTAAATTTGATTAAAATAAAATTAATTTCAATCACAATTTCAAGGCTAGTGTTTTTACTCAGAATCGTCTGGTGAAAACGCATGATTCAGATAATCGAATTGAAGTCAATAATTAAGATATTCAGTTTCAAGGACGCTAAATAATCATGAGTGATTCTTTGCAGCAAATCAACGTTTAATACCAAGGCTTAATTTCTGAAATGAGAGATGTCGGAGCGCTATGGAAAGCCGTCAACAAAGAGGGAAAATAAATAAATAAGATAAAACATTAAAAATAAATAAATGAATAAAACTTTGAAAGCTTTCAGATTTTCGAACAAGGAATATAGTATTTTTGTGATATGAAAGAATAAATGAAAGCTGTTAAGTTGCATTGATTATAAGTGATTTTGCTTTTGGTGTCACAGCTGATGAAAAAATAACATCTGACACAATTTTTCAGATTTTAATACAACAGAGCTATGTAATTTTCAAAAGGCGTGGGAGAACAACAATAAATAGCCCATCATGATTTCATACGTTTTATTAAATGCATTGCAGATACCTATGTTATTAAGATATACATACATTCTACCTTTAGTAGGCATCTCTCTATATATATACATTGCCCATTTAGTAGGCATAGCGCACTTACATTAGGACAGGTGGAATATTTCAGTAGTTGTAGCAAAGTCTTTCGATGAGAAGGATCACGATACCGCTTAACCAGCCTAGTGCCAGAACAAAGAAAATGGCTTTAGTATCCGAAAAGGAAATTGGATCCAAAGCAGTAGGATTTAAACCGTCATTCGGTCTGCAAGTGCCTTGAGCGGATTCCCAGTAGTCTTTGCGCCATTTCTCTAGAAGACCGAAACGGTGCATTCGCAAGATTCTAAAGAAGTTAAACAGTCATAAACAAGTAATTATAACTTTATAATTTAAATTCGTTAACAAATTCCAATTTTTTAGAGTATTATTCACACCAGAATTCTAGGTTTAGTACAGAACAAATAGAGTGAAATATGAGCAGCTTTCTTAATAAAAAAATACTACCATCTAATTCCATAATAGAAAATAATGCTAACCGATGGAGAGTTACAGTTTTAGAATTAAGGAAGAGTGGTGGATGCAGGTAAAAATATGAGGAAGGGACATCTGCGATGTGCCATGGGCCAACTGGTAGTGCATTTCCATACTCACTAACCCTTCTCCAACAAAAAAAAAAAAAAAAAAAAAAAAAAAATTGCAAGCATTATAAGAGTTTGCAAAGAAAGGTTCAAAGTATGAATATCTGAAGCTTTCCAAAGGATCTAGGTCAGCAATTCTCAACCGGTGGTACGCGTACCCGTGGTGGTGCTCAAAAGAAAAATAGGTGGAACGCTAAGAAACAAAGTATTTTTAACAATTAAATTCAAAAATCTCCTGAAGAAAGAGAACAATTGATAGGAATTTCCTGCGATCGAACTCTAACTGAAGATTTCAAAAATGACACACTTGTTAACTTTTGACTGATCCTAAAAAAAGAATGTATAGGCATTTCAAATAAAGCTATCAAATTTTTATTGCCTTTCTGCATAACATATTTATGTGAAAAAGGATTTCCTTCCATGTTATATTTGAAAAATAAATGCGGAAAAGAAAGTGGATCCTAATTTACTGCTAAAGCTAAGTGAAATGAACACCAGACATAAAGAAATGGATCTCTCTTAAACAGGCCCAAATTTCACACTAAATGTTAAAGTATTATAATTTAAATTTTGATAATTGAAATGGTAACCAATTTTTAATCTAATATTTTTAATGTGTGCATATTTTATACAAATAGCCAATAGGTGTGCAAATGGCAATATATATATATATATATATATATGTTTCATAAGAATAAATTGAATTTAATTAAAAGCAATTTTTGGGAAATTTCTGGAAATTTTTAAGAGGTTTTTTAAGGACTTCGTTTCAAAAAAAATTTGGGAAATTTTACTTTTTAAAACTTTAATTTTAAAACATTTGAGTTTTACTTTATTACTTTAAATATTTGGAATTTTCACAAAAAAAAAAAAAAAAAAAAAAAAAAAAAAAAAAAATTCACTTAACGTTATTTACAATTTTTACACAATTTTTCAACAGAACACAAATTTCACATTACAAACAGTTTACATTTTTTAATTCACAATACCACTTAACTTTTTTCTTTCTAAGCAAACTTACATCTCTTGATTGGCTTAGCTACTTAACTCCCTATAATTGCTATTACTACCTTTAGGGTTTTATATTTTTTTAAAATTTTAATATTAATGTTTACAAAAAATTTTTAATATAACAAAGATAGCAGCTTGGCACTCAAGAAGTCTTTACCTACATAAGCGCCATCTATATAATTTGAAGAACACACTTACTTCTCTTTAACAACACTTTTGCAGACCCCCAACACTCATTTAGTAGGTGAGTTAGAATTAAAACTTACTATTTACTTGCTTTAAGTATTTTTTAAAATTTTTTATGTAGTATTTTCTAAATATGAAATTATTTTTAAATATATATTTGTTTTTTTTTAAATTGTGAATTAGTTCTTTTTGTTTCTTATTGGTTTATATGGATTATTTATAGTTCTTTTTTAGTTTCTTTTTATTGATATGCATATTCGTGACGGGAAGGTTCCTGTAGACAAGGGTTTCTAAAACACATTAATTTCTAGATTATTTTTTATTTTTTATAAAAATTTATTTTTTTAAAAAAAAGGTTAATTTAATACTTGACTTTACTTGCTTGTTTCTCAAAAGACTTGATTAGTATCTTCCTTTTAGAACTTTAATTCTTAAATGTTAATTTCTAAGGGTACCACTTTATTGGTATTTCTTTTTACTTTTGGTTTTGACTTTTACCCTTGCCTGCATGAATTGAATGATTGGAGAGTTAGGTTTGGAGGCAACTTCCCCTTGATAAGTCTGTCTCCTGCCTACTTAACAGTCATTCACTTATGCATTTTTAAAAAATTGTTTAGTTTAATTTTAATTTGCCAAATTAGTGAATTTATTTTCATGGATTGGTTTTGCACTTGATTTGCTTATGCTTCTGAATTTAAATGACATTGTAGATTAGTTCGAGAATTAAATCTTTTATATGTTTGCACATTTTTTTAAAATTTTTTTAAAAGTTATTTTGGCTTTAAATTTGCTTTTTTACTTTTTTTACTTTTATACGTGTTTTGTTTAAATTTAAATTTAAATTTGTTTATATATATATATATATATATATATGTGTGTGTGTGTGTGTGTGTTTAATATTTATATTGAGGAAGAGAAAAATAATCATTGTAAAATGTAGTGCTGGTACTAAAGTTTTTCAATTTTTGTTTAGATGGTACGCGTTGGTCAAAAGGTTGAGAACCGCTGATCTAGAGTTTACCTATTGCAGTATATCATACAGTGCCACCACATACACAGCATCTAGTATTAATTAATAATAATGATTTAGAACATGAAGAGATTACAATATAATTTCAGGACAAGTGGTGCATATAGAAACAAAAAATAATATAACAGATTAAAAACGACTGTCATTCTTTTGCTATGCACCAAGAGATAGTCTACGAAACATCTATCTTACATGCCCACTTAACAAGCCAGTTTAATATCTACCTTAGAAATTTCTAAAAATTAACGAGAAGTAAAATAAACAGTCTAAATAATTACATAATCCTGTGTTCAAAAAGCTCAAGGAAAAGGCTTTAGGATAGCTCTGCATGAGGTCTAAAAAATTACTACCTCAGAACCATATAAGGTATTTCTCCCCCCTTCTTAGCATGCCTTCATGGTGTAGTGGTCATCACGCTCGACGCGTATTCGAGAGATCCGTGGATCAAGTCCTGGCGAGGGTATTGCTCCATTTTCATGTCTCCTGCTTAGAAATATCCTAATTTCTCTACAACCTTCGTAGTGACATCATACTCGAAGGCAGACCCTTGGTACTACGCATGACATGGAAAACGAGTGAAGACATGGAAAACGAGACATGGAAAACGCAAGTGAAATTTCAACAATCGGTCCAATAAAACGGGATATATAGAACTGTCCCACCTTTTTTTGTGTGCAAGGTGTACATAACTATTTAGTCAAAATATTACGTCTCATGTTACTTTACATCAATGTGTTCTTTTAAAATTTGTAGGTTTCTTACTCACGAAAGCAAAACTCTGATAAAGCGAGGTTTCTGTTCTCTAAATATCAAGCAGTCAGAGGGAAGGAAAGAAAAGGATAAAAAATCAAAAAATATTTACCTCAAAATAAGATAAATATTTAAAAACTGTTGCGTAGGATAAGAAGTCCTAAACTATTAATACTAAAATTGATACAGAATATTGACTGTCGAAAATGGATACTTGGGGTAGTCAGCTACCTCTAATAAAAATAGTATTATAATAATTAACAAGTATTAACACCCTATGAAAAACAAATAAGCTCTTCGATGAATAGCTATGAGATCGAAACTACCAAACTTTGAATAATAAAATAAAATTCAAATTAAAAAAACGTCGCTTTTAAGTAACATTTACATACTTTCTAGAATTAAATGTTAAAAAAAATATTACGTTACTAAATCATCGCAAATTTTACGACGTAATATATAAATTAATAATAAACTGAATGTATTGCCAATAAAAGATCTTGCTAATTGTAGCGTAATAGTGTTTAAAATATTGAAACTATAAAAAAATGTACTTTCGGAAACTATAAAAAAATGTACATGGAGAGGCGAAAATCCTGCATTGCCACGACAAATGCTTTCGTAAATTTTACGAAGATTTAATGAACTAATATTAATAATTTTTGATTCGAAAACTTACTTGGCATCAAACTGGGACAGAAAAGGACTATTTTTGATTAAAGCTAATGACCAGTCCGAACGTATTATATCTTCACGACCAACGTACAAATCACATATGAAAGGATCATCGGAATACTTGTGCATCATCTTCACTAGCATTGCCCTGCAAAATAATATTCGGTCATTGAATATCCGTAACGCAATATTCATAATCATCAAATGTTTCTATGTATTTAATAGCAAGTAGGAAATACATTAGTAAATGAAGAACCAAAGGTTATTATCTCAATACTTACATGCAATATATCTTACTTAACTTTATAGTTACTTTACGAATCGATAGGTGGCGCCAGTAAAACTATTGTTTTTACACATTTTTTTTTTCTTCCGTCAATTTTTTCAAATTAGCCTGATGAGATTTATTATTATTTAATGTTAATAATTTATATTATATAATATATAATATTTATTCCTTTTGCTGTGTTTTATTGCTGCGTATAAGAAAACTTCCAGTGTGCGAATAAAAAGAGGGAAATATATATATATAATATTTATTTAAATTATATTAGCTGGTTTAAATACTTCAAGGAATTACGCGATATTAATCAGACTAAAACTGAACCTATGAATGTTATGGATATAGTTTATAGAAAGAACTTCGCGCATATACTCAATGAAACTTATAAGAATTAAGACAAAATACACCCGATTTTGTACTGCTATATTTAGTATTTTATAACCTATTTACACACAATTTGCTGTAAGCAACGTACTAAAAAAAGAGATATAATGAATTTAAGAGAGAATAATTAAACACTGTTGCAACTTAAGATAACAGTTATTTCATTTGCTTCTTATTTCATCTTTTTGTTATTGAAACGTGAAAAAAGTAAATTTCTGTGTGAGAGTAAAGTCATAATATTTGAAGACTGCATTTTAAAAGCTTCGCAAATTCAACGGGATAATTGCTTCTGAAAGAAAGGAGCATTAACCATTACTTTTGCAATCAAATTTTAAAAAAATGGTGGCGCCATCTAGTATGAAACTGATTAAGTAACTAACTGAATGCTACGGCATTAGGTTAGTTAATCAGTTCGATACTAGATGGCAGCACCACTTTTTATACTAAACCAAATTGGGACAATGCCAAACGCTCCAGATAGTACTTGCACTTGTAAACTCGTGATTATAAAATACACTTTCTGCAGTAAATTAAAACAAAATTTAGCTGAGGTCTCAAACTAATTTCAAGGTTCTTGTTGATAATTTTCATGTTGAAGTAGAAAAATGAAGTAAATATTTGTTGTGAGAAAATAATGTATACTTCTACAACAAATAGCATTTACCTGTGTGTTTATATCAGGAAACCCCTTAATGAAAAAAAGAAAAATTAAATCTCGATTTAAGTTTTAACCCGAAAATTTTTTAATCTGAAAATTTATCAGAAATTTGAGAAAGGACGGATTTTGGAAAAGACGGATGGCAATTTTAAAATTCCACCTCGTACGTGCTTCGACGTACCACGCGGAAAAGCAATGAAGTTCAGCAGAAGAAAAAAAAAAAAAAAAAACTTGCAGGTTACGAAAATTAGTGTTTTCAGAGCTTCCAATTAAGAAGAGAAGAGAAGAATGGTTGAAATAGCTTCCTACGAATTTTTAGAATCAGGCGGCACCTCTCCCGAGACTCAAATGCCTGCCATTTCGGAGGAAATGGTGTTGCAAACAAACAAACAGACGTGCACAGATTTTAAGTAGTATAGAAAATTGGGTTTCAAGAGTAAACAAAATTTTAAATAGATAAAATCAAAAATGAAGTTAAAACATTTTAATAATACTTGCTATTCTTTGCAAATTTAAAAAACACTTTAATGATTATATTGATCGAATATTTAGATCATATGTACAAAGTAATCTCTTTGAAAATTTGTGAATAAGGGTAATTAAATAAATAGCATAGGTTTTCTGATGCTGGAGACGGGAAAAATATGCGATGGCGTCGCCGGGACTCGAATTCCGGACCTGACAAATACGCGTCGAGTTTGCTTCTAGTTACAACCTGAAAGGAGTAAGAAAATATCCTATAAAACTCATATTTCAAAGTTTTAAAATATTGAATTTATGTTGTTAATGAGTACAAACATTATGTATCTACATTGTTTCATAATATAGAGCTCCTTTTTTTTTTTTTTTTTTTTTTACTCAAAGGGAAAATTTACCCAGAAGGGCTATTAATTTCGTTTTGGAATTTTGCGTCGTCCACTATAAAACGGCGTTTAATTTTTCAAATTTTTGCCACCGTTTATTAGAGCCCCGCATTATATTTAAAGAAATTAAATAGTTAAGAATCTGCATGAATATGTATTCTACAATTGCCAACCACCATATTGTCTTTAAATAATATTTTCCCAATGTATTACTGAGTAAATAAATGCAGCATTACCGACTATTGGTATCTTATCCGCTAAAAAAATAGACGGATATCGCTCTGTATAATCTAACATATTACAAAGCGTCGTTTAGTAACAATATGACATTAACAAAACAATCACAGATTCTTCGGATTCTATTCTATAATGTTCTGCAAATATTAGAATGCTCGTCTAAGGTTTTGTTAAAATGATTAGCCTTACCTTTCGGCAACCCAAACATAAACAGATGATCCTTCTTGCTGGCCATGTACTTTCTCCATCGTATCGGCTATCTTGACTTTTCCTGGGATAACATACGATTCCATATTTTTTAGCCACATGTTTCGCCACAAGGGAGATTCCTGAAAGTGAAGCAAGAAGTCGTTAAACCTGCGTACACTTTCTTCAAAAAGCGTTTGAATATGGGTTAAATTGAATAGCAAAGTAAACAACTGCGTCTTGTACTCAGTTATTTCACCTTACATAAGTTTTACACTTTTTTCATTTTAATAATACGTTTTTAAAATTATGCTAGCTCGAGCAAAAACACTTGAAAATACGATGAAATGCAAATCAAATTGAAACATTATTCGTATAAATGGCTGTTTCATGTTAAGAACAATGTTTAGCAGAAATGTATCTGAATATAGATTTTTGAAATATTTTCCGTATAGTAAATTCCAGTACACAACACAAATGTTACCTAAATTTTTGTATGTGCCAAACAAAACTTATTTAAAAACTTTAAATAAATATTTCCTTTAATGTTACTTAAAAATATGAACGATTTTTAAGTACGAATTAACAAAAATTATGTTTATGCAGTATCGTACAGAACGTCAAATTTATTGATCTTCCATAATGACCTTCCGTACTGATCATCCGTATTGGGTAACTGAAAAAAAAATATCAGTACGTATGATTAACTCAACTAAAAATGCGACAAACGTACAAAAATTTCAATGGGATGGGGAGAAGGTGAAAAATTGTTGTAATGAAAAATATTGATACGAATCCTAAATTTTTTGGTATTGATTTGCCTTCTAACTATTTCTTGAATCTCGAATCCCTCGATTCTTTAATCACGGGAGGGAAAATCTGCAAGCCTTCAAATTTCATTTATTTATTTTTTGTTTTATTTTTTATTTTTTTACGTTTTATTTTTTTTCCTTCTTTTACACGCGCGAACACGTTTCGAGAGCATTTGCGCAATAAATAAAAAAAAAGAAGAACTTTTCTTAATATTAAAAGATTTTATTGAAACAAAATTTCAAATCTCTGTTTAACGAAAAATTTATCAATACATTTTTTTAAATGCATTTTTACTTTTTAAAAACATGTAACTAAGGGATAGTAAATAAAGTACATAATTAAAACTTTTGAATATTAAATTTCATTTCCTAAACAAGTTGAAACGAAAACAAATAAGAAGTCGAATTTTTTTTTGCATTTTTCGTGATTCTTTTTAAATTAAAGCAAGTGCAGGAGAAGAAGAGGTTTATTTCAAGAATTAGTATGGATAAATGTCAAACAAGCAATGCAGAATATGCTTTAGAGAATTACGACAAGTCAAAAACATTTCCATTTGTAAGCGATTGAGATGCACACTCGCAATGTTTCTCTTACGACCACTACCAGGAAATTTTTAATCATGTACTACTGGAATAACGAAAACTGAATTCATTTTACTTCTTTGTGCGAAGTAAAGGAAGTATTGTAATCATGGAAAATTTCGGGTATAATATTTCAACGAAAATATCCATTTTTATCACTCTTGAATCCATGTGAACGGTGTTTTTGCTTGATATCTGTACATATGGACAGAAAAGAGGACTCTTTTTCCCAAAACGGATTGTAAAACGGATTTAAAATGGATTCAGAAGAAATTTGTGACGTCTGTACGTACGTGCGTATGTAGGTATACGTATGACTGTGTTTCGCAGAACTCAAAAAAGAATAGCCTCAAAACGTTGAAGTTTTGTATATGGAAGGGCTATAACATTTAGTTGTGCACCTCCCTTTCTGGTTGCAATCGACCGAGCCAAAAGTATAAAATATATATACATTTATATACCAACTCTATTATTCGGCACAGTCAGCTCAGTGTTTTTAATCAGTTTTCAGTACTAGTAAATTGTGCATTTTTTGCTTTAAAAGTGCAAAAAATGCACTGCAATTAAAAGTGACTGAATTACATTGCTCTTACGCTCCAGTTAAGGTTTCTATGACTTTAGTTAATATACATGCAATAGTTGTAGAATTATCAACAATTTAAAAGTTATTTAAGTGCTATTAAGCCTAACGAAGCCGCCATTTGTTTACATTTGAAAATCTTAGTAGAATAGCAAATTAAGTCAGTTTCTGAACCAACTTCAGTGCCCTTTTTGCCAAGTGGGGGCAAAAGTAAACTTTAAATTTTATGCACCAAAAAATCTGTCTTCCTGCCGCTGGCCGAATTGCTTGTTTTTGCGTAGAAACTCTCATTTTAACGGTAAAAAATTTTTAACCGTATTTGGTGTTTTATATTTGTCTAATTGTACAATTTTTAATGACGATGATTTGAGTTTTTATGTATTTTTGTCTTGCCGCGAAGTACAAGAACTGAATTAACTGAATGAGAAATATATATCTGAAGAAATTCGATTTAAGTTTAAATGAAGTGCAGCAAAAATGCATTTAAGGCCGTACAAGGAATTCATGAGGTGTCCAATTGAGATTTTTGTAATGTGTATTTCTACTAATTGTTGTAGTCATATGTCAATTATTATACTACTGTTATACTTATATTTATACTGCTGTAAATTAAAATTAACCTTTCCACAATTTCTAAAAAACATTTATTGGAACCTCTGAGAAACAACTACAGAGTTAAAATGAGTCCCATGGAAAAGTCTTTTGGGGGCTATCGCGATGAAATATGATATTCGATAAATGTCATAATAGCGTAGCTGGTAAACTAAATTTGATTACTATTTAAGGCTAGAGATTTAACATCAAACATTTTTACGCCTTTCAGAAACACAAGCACATCTACAGACGGCAAAGATGTATAGTCTTTGCGTCTCTTTGATAGCATAAAATAGTCACAAACGCCTAGCAGACTTGGAGCGAATTACATAGCTTGGTCTGCAGTAACAAACAAAGTCTTGAAAAGGTTTAAAACAACTTTTCACTTCCTTGTACGAAGTAAAAAGGAAGTATTGTAATCGCGAAAAGTTTCAGGCATCATATTTCAACGCAAATATCCATTTTCACCGCTATCGAATGCAATTTAACCATGCTTTTGCTTGACATCTGTAGGTAAGGAGAGAATAAAGGACTCTTTTCCCCAAAAAAATCGTAAAAATAATTTAAGAGGAATTCTAAAGAGAATTTTTCGTGGCGTCTGTGCATACGTACATATGTATCTCGCATAACTCAAAAACGAGTAGCCTCAGAACGTTGAAATTTTGTATATAGGACTGCTATAACATGTAGATGTGCACCTCGTATTTTCGTTGGAGTAGGCCGCACCAAAATTATATAAATATGTGTATATATATATCCACTCTGTTACTCGGCTCAGTGATCTCAGTTTCTTTATTTTTATATGTTTGTAAATTGTGCATTTTTTGCTTTAAAATGATTGAATTATACTGTTCTTATCTTCCGGTAAAGGATTTTATGCCTTTAATAAATCTATATGCAATATTTTTAGAATTATAAAAAATTTAAAGTTGTTTAAGCGCTGCTAAGCCTAATAATTTTTGTCATGTCGGCCATTGCTTGTTTACATTTAAAACAGCAGAATAGCAGATTTGTTGCCAATCTAGAGAAAGTAAGCTTCGCAATAACAAAGATAACGCCTTCTTTTATTATTGCGAATTAAATCATGCTTAATCCATTCTGGAATTTATTCGAGGAAATAAGTGTTTAAGATTTACTTCATAATTTTCAATGCAGACATTTTGAATTTTTCTGTATTTTTGCCTTGTCGCGAAAGGGAGAACTGTATTAATTAAATGAGAAATGCTGAATTGTCTGTGAAAAACTGTTTCTTTTTTGTTTTTGTTGTTCTTTGCTTAATTTCTTTTATACATTGTTTTAGATTTATTATAGTATTTCACTAGACCATGTGGCAACAATTAGATAATTCTTAAGATGATATAAATTTTGTGCATTCTGAGTTAAAAAATGAAGGAAATGTAACGCTGTTAAGTGAATCTAGGGCCAGAGTGTCCCTATGGTAAACAAATATAGTGAATTTTAAAAAGTGCATTTATTCTATTGTGGTTTATGCGCTATCGACGAAGTAGATTTAATTCAATCCAATAAGTTTAAATTAAATGCAAGAAAAAAATGCGTATAATTTAATATTCCGTACAAGGAAGTCATGTGGTGCACACATCAGATTTAAAAAAAAAATCAGAACTAAAACATGAAATTCACGTTTCGTGCTTTCACATTCCTCCACGGCGATGAGACTTAAAGTAACAGTGAAATAAAAAAGTTAAACTGAGTAGTCAAAAACTACATAATTAATTTAACGCGAAGTCAAAGGATTGGAATTTTATCAGAGCTGATGAACCTAGTAACACGGCCTCGAGAGGCAGAAGCATACTGTGTCTTACAGTCCCAAACCCTCGATTTAAATACTTTATCAACTGATTTGTATTCTGGTTAAGAAACGGAAAGGAGAAGTGATAGTAAAGCTGAAACTATAAATAAGCTGGTTATTTAAAATATAGTAAAAGTCATTAAGCTTGTCATTAATCTCTCTGAGGCAAGAGACGTGAAAAATGTGCAGTGCCCTTGCCGAGACCCGACCGTGGAACTTTCGAATACGCGCTGAGTGTGCTTCCGTTACAACACAAAGGCATGCTGGAACGACGGAAATTGAATGCTGAATTGGTTTCGTTAAAATCTAAAGATATTTTAACGAACCCAGTTCAGTAACAATTATAATTTTTTGAAGTATTTCTGACAAAAAGTAGACTGACCTTAAAGTATGAGTGAATCTGCGAATTATTTCTCAAAGCTAACTTAGCATTAGGATATTTTTTGAGGAGGTCTTGTAAAGAATCCGCAGGCCTCGGTGATTTGTGAAGACTCAGCGTCGAAGTGAGTGTACCGCTGTAGAGAGAGTTCAGAACAAAGCATCCCATTATCCAAACAGCTAATATAGCTCGACACGACGCAGCACAGGGAATATATGAAATACCTGAAAAGGATAAACATTTTTTAGCTGAAATGTTTTTGTAAAATAGAACAAAGATAAGATTTTTATAGTGAACTAATGCAAAAAGCTAGAACGAAATTAACAGTCCTTTTTGGGCTAAGGCGCATTTGGACTAAAAATACGTATTTATCATCGTTATTTTTCGGTGCTAGTTGATGTTTTTATTAATTTCAATAAAAAAAAAATTCAGTTTTTGTTGCATAAATTTCACAAAATAATGAATTTTTTATCACTTTTGTAAGGATTATTTTTAAGCGTAAATGTGTAGAGACATTAGGTTATTTCGAAGCGGGAGAGATGAAAAATCAGCAATGCCCTCGCCGGGACTCGAACCACGGACCTCTCAAGTACGCGTCGACCGGGCTGACCACTACACTACGAAGGCATGCTAAGAAAGCGGGAGAAGTACCTTATAAGTGTAGTCCAATAAGAAATCTCATAAATTCAGAAATATAAAATACATTTTGAAAAACTGGTCGGTTACCTTAAACAGGCTATGTTTTATCAGTTATAAATTCCACAGAATGTCTTCTGCTACTATACAGGAATGTTTTTCACGTACTAGACTAATTCCGATTCTGCCAACGATTAGGTTAATAATAAAACTTTTATAACAAATTTGACTTTGGTTAATAATAATACTTTTATAACAAATACTTAGTAAATTCGTAACATTTCCCGTATTGCTCGTATTTTTAATAGGTTTCTGAAAGTTTCTTTTCATAACTTTTATGATTTTGGAGGGGAATGTGGAAAATTAATATTGTTCTGATAAAGCGAAATTTTGGCTGAGAAACCGATCCATTGGCATAATGAAAGCTATCTCGGAACAAATAGCATTTGCTTTGTTATACACAATTGTAAATTTAAAACATAAAATATAGCAGTTACAATTATAATATATTTCATTTTAGTAATAATATCTAATTAACGTACTGGTATTAGTTATACATAATTATTTTGCTATAATTCTTAAATGAGAAGAGCCTTAAACTAATACTGTCATCTTGAGTTATAAAAGGCAATTTATTCCAGGATTTCAAAGATAAAAAGTATATGATGATTTCTTAACCTTGCCCGATGAGTATTCTGTACAAGGAACTAATACTGCCCACAGCAGCATGTAAGAAGATTTTTTCTTTTACTTTCTTGTGTTCTTGTCGATTCCATATTTCATGAAAGCCCAATGTCAGGCAATAAACACTGGAGCTAGCAAGCAGAACGGACATCAAACTAATCCATATCTGAAATTCATTTTATATGATTAGACAATAAACTTTCACAAGTTTGGTTTACATGCTAATCAAGAAAACATCGGGAAAGTTAAAAGAAATTTAAGATGTATGCATTTCTGTTCGCTTCATTTAAGGATGTTCTTCTAATAAAAATATTCTTATAATTTTAAATGTAAAACTCTTGTTTCAAATTAAATAAAGTGTTTAAACGAAGCTTTTTTGGGGTAGATGGTATTTCATTAGTATCTGCTTTCTTAAGAAAACAGCTACTTAATTTTCTTATGTATTGTATCGGGTAGCTATCTACAATGCGCTATTTTTAAATTTCTTAAAATTAAATATGTACTGCTTACTTTGGCGTCGATGTCCTGGAACAGAATCCAAGTCCTACTATAAAAGGCAGGCGCTTTGTATATGAAAGTAGAGGTCTCAGGAAAAATAGGAAGGGTGAGATCTATTGCTATACTTCGGTCTAGAGTCCAAGATAAATCGCCTGCTCCCATGTCTGCACTCTAAAGAATACAATAATGAATACATTCCTGAAGAGAATCATTAATTAGATAATAGCCTAGTGAAATCAAAATAACCTAGTGACTCTACAAGCCTTGATAGGCAATGATATCTTAGAATTTAATACTAATTTTAAAATGTATTTAAATTTACTACCCTGCTTCAAAAGCTCAAGGACAATGATTTAATCTTCGTTCTACTATTTTTCCCTGAGTCAAATAATTTTTGGAATAAGGATTGCAGTAAAGTAATATAAAAAAGTGCTAAAATTAATCATTTCATTAGGTTTCTTAAAACGGTAAACTAATTTTAAATCAGCTACATTCGAATCATGTGATAAAAATATTTAATAATATTTTTCAGTTTTGTTTTACGTGCTAATTAATTATTTGTTATGAAAATTATTGCGAATTTGCAGAATTGTTCTTACAGAGGATGTCTTTATAAAACGCAAGACGAAACTACACGGTACGGATCATCTCGTTTATTATCAAGAAGCAAACTAAAATTTTCGCTAACCTTTCTAGTAAGTTCTCCAATCATGCCAGACCATGTGCCATCTTTCTGCTGCATGCCATAAAGTCGGCCCTCGGCTTCTTTCACTTTGTAACTGCAGAATAAAAGAGAACTCTACTATTTACTATTCAGTGATTTATACAGGATATGCAAATCGGAAAAGCAATCTTGCCTTATCTGTCAACAAGTATTTGGCCACCTATGAAAATTCCGGTATCTGCGGTTCCGATATACTTAACATTCTTCGCCGTTAAATATCATGTAGGAAACAACATTAGCATTAGTCGCATGCAAGACGCCACAAAGTGCAGTGTTATCTGATTTCTAGAACTCACATCAGGTATCGCAGAATGGCCGATCCTTAAGGGGCATATCTAGTGAGCTAAATTACCCAAAATCAACAATGGCCTATGCGATTCAGAAGTGGAAAGAGAGTGTTGATTGTCCAAATGTACTCCGAGTGGCAGACCCAAGAAACTGGGAGATAGAGACGAACGAGTGCTGTACAGATAAATTCGGAAGAATCTCATCCAACCGATGGCCCACATGCACCAGGAGGTTTAACAGGCATCCGGGTGTGTTGTTTCGGTAAATACCATCCAAGAAAGCACATCTACATAGTCGAGTTGCTGCCGGGGTGCAAAGCACGCCCACAGAGGACCGTAGATCAGTGGAAACGTGTTTTCTAGAGCCACGAATTAAGGTTTTCCCTCTACGGTTTCGATGGTAAAGTCTGGGTCTGGCGTTTGCCTGGAGAACGTGTGCTGCCAGAATGCATCGTGCCCACAATAAAATTCGGCGGAGTTGAAATTATGGTCTGAAAGCGTTTCTTCTGGTATAGGATGGGACCCTTGGCCCAAATTCATGGTAGGTTCTACGCCAATGCACTCTTTTAATGACAGTGTGCTTCCTACGTTGCGGCAGTTTTATGGGTTTGACACATATTACTTTCAGGATGACAACACCTGTCAAGCTGTGAGATTCACCATGGATTGGTATGGTGACAATGAGATTAACCGAATCGACTTGCCTTCCCAAAGCTTATAATACCTAAACCCTATCCAGAACCTCTAGAACGAGTTGGATCGCCAAATTGAAGTGTACTGCAACCGCCATCGGTGAAGGATTTTTCATGTCTTCTTGTCAAGCTGAGTGGGAGAAAATAACAATAGCAGCTATACAAAGACTTGGGGAAAGTATGCCCCGGAAGGCTGAGGCTTCGTTTAGCGAGGCTGTACCAAGTATTGATTACGAATTAGTTGGATGTACTAACTATTGCTTTTCTTCTCTATCACAGGAGGCCAAATACTTATTAGTAGATAGTCTATACTTGGGTATAGTATGAAACATGTTGATATATATGTGACTGTGCAAGTCTTTATATTAAGACCAAAACAATATTCTTGAGGGAATGGAACATTTTTAATGTATTATACCCATGTATGACTCTGACTTTTTTAATTAGTGGGGTAGAAAGAAATACTTTGTTCTCTAAAATACAATAAATTCAACTTTGCATTATATTAAATTAGAAAGTGTTCATTATTTTCTTAACCAGCAGTTTAATTTAACTCTTTGCAATAGGTTACGTTTCATGAACTTAAAGCTTATTCAAGCAGTCGCAATTTTACCTGAAACTATCTATTTCAGAGTTGCGCTTACCCTTATTTAGTGATTTGCATTAGGTGGGATATTATATTTTTGTAATCAATGTAGTACTTAACAATTAAAGAAATAATTCAAATTTGGCAATATATAAACACGCTTTTTTCTGTTATTGTGTAACGTAATGACTAGTAACAAAGAAATGCATATGAAAATGTTTTATTATCTTATTTTGGCAAAGCACGTAACAGCCTGGGTAGAGAATTAAGGGTTATGATACTTGTAAGGTTTATCCTAAGCTTCTAACAGTTAACTTAGTTAAAGCTACTTTCCTGTCCTTCCTAATTTCAACTTACAATTTCCTACCAGAATGTGTTTTTAGAATCGCGGTTAATGCACATGAGTTTGAGTAGTATTTAAGTCGAAGTCCCACTGACTTCGGGAGAGAGTCTCAGAGTTTCTGACTAGCGCGCATTTGCCTTTTGGCTAAGTCTCTCCAAGCTCGGCCATATTACTGTCCCCTGATAGCTCGCTACTTTATTCGACATTTAGATGTCAACATTTTGATAGCTTCGGCAGTATCTCTTTAGTTAAACATCAGTTAAGTCTTGGTACTTATTATTTTGAGTTCCAGGCCTAGTGGAGGCTTGGCTGTACGCCCTGAGAAAGAGGCCGTCTGTTTAATCCTTATTTTGAGAAATAAAGGGTCATTAACCCTTCTTGAGTTTACTTTTCCGTTTATGGACGTAAGCGATCATTCGCTTAGCTGTTCACTAGGTTCCTCCACATTTAGATGTTAGATAAAAGGATGGAACCCCTCATACTTTAGAAACGTTTGCGAGGAGTGGAATATGAAACACTCTTGTATGTTCAGCTTCTCCCGCATTCGGTTGTAGTTGCTTTATGTCACAGGTATGTAAATCTTTTTTCAGTTCCAAATGAAACCTAAATTTAAGCCCAAATTTTCCATTTAGATCTTAATACGTATTTCGAAATAATTCCCTCCTCCTGTTTTGGTAAAATTCATAAGATATTTTTACGCATAATATATGTACATTTTTCGTACTCTCATACGAAAAGTATTTATATGTAAAAATACAGCAAACAGAAAGATGGAAGCTTAAGATTAGAGTGAATTAGAATGAATACTTTATTAGAATGGGTTGTAACTTATTTAATATTTTCTTTTTGATGTCTCCAATTATTCAACAGGTTGCAGTGTGCCATACGATCTAGAAAGAGACGGGCATTCTGCTTCATTAATACTATAATTTTACGGCATCTTATAAGGTATTTCTCCCGCTTTCCTAGCGTGCCTTCGTGGTGTAGTGGTTCTGCACACTGGGCCTGTATTCCAGAGGTCCGTGGTTCGGTTCTCGGCGAAGGCTATTGCTCATGTTTCATCAACCTGGCTTCTCCAATTAACCTAATGTCTCTACAGTCTTATTTACTATTTCACATTTATTCAGAAAACACTTAGCCAGGTTTCATTCTTCCTGACGAGTTCCATCGGGGGTCGACTGGAGGACAACCTCCAGCCCTCTGGCTAAGACCTTAGACAAACTCGACATAATTTGTCTTCACAGGACTAGAATCACCGACTTTTTGGTAGTCCATTCAGGCGTGGCAGTGATCGTAACGGTATTGTCAAGTCTTTTCGGGCTGTGTGATTGTTACATATTTGATTTTCAAAGGCTGCACTCGTGGGTTCACCTCCGTTGGTCAACTCAAGGGGACTGACGTTGTCTTAGACTTCTTGGTGACCAACTGGTGCCTGGTCGCCCAGTCTTGTGCTTATAAACCTGACCTTGTTCATTATCGGCCGGGATTGACCAGTGGGGGCTTACTCCCTCGTGGATCACCTCTGGAGATTTAGGCATCAGTCTTTGTTAAGGGCTTTTTAAAGCTCAGGTCAGGAAGTCTGAACCTTCTAGTATACTGTCTCTGGCGAATATCATCCTACCAAGATCTATAACATCACAATGAAAGTGAAATTAAATTAAAATTCATAAAAAAACTGTTTAAGATTGAAAATATATTGCAGATCTCATAGATACTTAGACGTTGCAACAGTAACTATTTACATTTATAAAAACATTCCTCTATTAAGTATCCTATTTATTCTCATTCTCCTCACTTAAAATAAGTGATATGAAACTTATTTACTGTAATTCATTCATAAATTAAATTATAAGTTTAAAACTAGATGTCTTCTGTACTAATCCTAAATCCAAATGTGATAAGAAACGAGCCGCTGTCAGCAAATTTTGCATTAAAAACGTTACTCTAGCATCAAACAGGAGTAAGAATCAAATTTCAGTAATTTCCTTTATTAACGTGTTATTTCAGTTAGTTTAGCACCTTTTGACATTATTTCTTTTTGCATTTCTGGTCGTCTGTTGTAAGACCAATAGTGAAATTATGGTGCCTACTTGTACCCTTGATTGTACAAGAGCTTTCACCTTAATCCTGTTGCCTTGCCTGTAGACCCTGCAGTTAAGTCACCTGTAGAGTTAAGTCACCTTAATCCTGTTGCCTTGCCTGTAGACCCTGCAGTTAAGTCACCTGTAGAGTTAAGTCACCTTAATCCTGTTGCCTTGCCTGTAGACCCTGCAGTTAAGTCACCTGTAGAGTTAAGTCACCTTAATCCTGTTGCCTTGGCTGTAGACCCTGCAGTTAAGTCACCTTAATCCTGTTGCCTTGCCTGTAGACCCTGCAGTTAAGTCACCTGTAGAGTTAAGTCACCTTAATCCTGTTGCCTTGCCTGTAGACCCTGCAGTTAAGTCACCTGTAGAGTTGCGAAAGAGAAACCTAGCTGTGCCAAGTCGGGCACAGCCAGGTTTCTTGAGATGACTTGGCTGTGCCCGGAGATGTTTAAAAAGGTTAGAAATGTCTTCCTATCCCATGTGTCCAATGTTAAAGAATTTTAGTTAGAGAACCGCATCAGAATCTTAGTGATGCGGTTCGTTCGCTAACTCAAATTCTTTAATATTGACAAGTAGCTGTGTATTAATACAGGTAGCTGTGTTTGTAAAGTTTATTCGAGAAATACTCATTTCTTAGTTTTCCTTCACCCTAATTAGCAAATAAAGTTTTGTATTTGAGTTGCAGTTTTTAATAATAGTTACGTAGTATTAGAGAAATAACTCCCCAGATTTATTGCAACTTCTGCGGATAGCTGTCGATGCTGAGAAAAGTTGTTTTATACCGTTATAGAAGAATAAAAGAAGAAGAATCATAGAAGTTATAAACTGTAATTTATATCCTACTACTTCAAATTAAAAAATTACTACACCTGGTAAGTTTTATATATATATATATATATAGAGAGAGAGAGAGAGAGAGAGAGAGAAAGTTAGATAGATAGATACTCATTAAAAGTTTGACTTGAACCATCTACTGTATGTACTATCCTTTAACTGAATATTTCAGATTTTTGTAAAATTGCATGCATTCTACATCAAACTTTCTTACGTAAAATTGTAGATATCTGCCAAAGTATTGATGATACGGAAAATAAATCCGTTCCACCTTGGAGTACCGGGAGGCGGTTCCACTTTAATGGGTGGACTCTGAAAGACAAATAAATAAATAAAAATTACATTTTACTATTTGTGTTAGTAATTTGTAATAAATCAGGAGAGATCTGAAAGAAATTTTTGATTTTTAGAAATCATAAATAAATCTTGTTACATTTAAAAAGCAAACGCAGCGATATTTAACTTTTAATAGAGTTAAATATTAATATTATACAACATTCTGTAGAATTTCTATTGTCATATCTTGACGTATTTCATGAAATAAAATCCCTGTTTATTTTCTTCAGGCGAATTCATTCTTTTAAATACAATATATTGGGTGATACAAAAAGTCACCGAGCTTTTTTGCCACTAGATGGCATTGATGCCTATATATACGGCAGAACTCACCCGATTGTCTGAAACGAGCATGTGCTTAAAAGGTGACATTTAGCTTCCATTGTTTGTGAAGATAGTTTTTTGCTTATGACAAAAGTTATAATGATTTGAAAATGAGTGAAATATCTGAAGAAATACGGTATGTGATGCTTTTTTGCTATAAAAAAGGTAAACAAGCCTCAAAAACATGCCGAAAAATTTGTGAAATATACGGTAAAAATGCTCTGAGTGAACGAAGGACACAGCAATGGTTTGCTTAATTCCATTTCTGAAATTTCGATGTCGAGATTCGAAGGGAATTGTCCATTATGAGCTGCTGCAACTCATAATCGAAATCATCAATTCGGCGTAACCATCAGTTCGGCCCACTATACACAAGTCGACCGTTTGAACGAAGTATTCTAGAAAGGGCGACCAGACGCGGCTACACACATTTTTGATTACTGGGAACATATTGACGATGCTTAGTTGGAAAGTTTTGATGCACTCACCGTATAGCCCGGACTTTGCACTATCTAACTACCATTTGTTTCGGTTTCTAAAAAACTCTCTTGGTGGTAAAAAATTGGCCGATCGAAGCGCTGCTGAAAATCATTTGGCCAAGTTTTTCGACGATATGAGTAGTCCATGGGACAATATGGCACATTTATTCTATTTCATTTTACATGACAACATCCTGTCTTCTATACTTGTTAAATTCTATGACTGCTGCGAATTTTTGTGATGTTACACTATAAGGTATTTCTCCCACCTTCTTAGCATGCCTTCGTGGTAGTGGTCAGCACGCGCGACACGAACTGGAGAAGTCCGTGGTTCGAGTTCTGGCGAGGGCACTGCTCATTTTTCATCTCTCCTGCTTTCAAAAAATACTTAATGTCTTTACAGTGGCACCCGAACTAAAATAGGTGGTGGATGATGATTCTCCACCACCAGGATTTGCCAATTGTGTCCCCTAATCCCCAGTCGCCCTTTAAAAGCGGGAGTATATAAGGTATTTCTTCTGCCTTCTTGGCATACTCTCGTGGTGTAGTGGTCAGCACGCTTGACGCGTATTCGAGTCCCTGTGAGGTCATTGCTCATTTTTCGTCTCTCCTGCTTCCAAAAAATCCTTACGTCTCTCTACAACAAATATACTTATGTTTTTAAAAACAAAAACAAAGAAACAAAAAAAGACAAAACAAGCTTTTATTTATGATAAACCGTTTCACAGATGATTTTACCAATATTTACCTCATTTCATTTGTGGGTTATTTCAGTAAAGTATTCATGAATATATATTTTTGTAGTTTAATTTTCACTAAGAAATATTTTATTGCCTTTTTATGCCATGTATTGCTTTTCGTTTTCTAAAACTTTTCTTGTTTTTCCTATAAAAATGTCTCAGATATTACATATGCTATTAAACATATATTTCAATAAATTCTGCATGTTTTATTTTAAACTAAACATGTAACTTGTAATATCCATGATTAGCCTTTGTTTATATTTCTTCTTAAGCTTACATTTTGATTTTAGCAAATTCTTTTCGGTTTATGGCTAATTATTAACTGCATTATGTCAGGTAAGCAGTGAAGGAATTGTATTTAAGTTATAGACATGGAATGTAAGTGGTTTACAAACACAAAGATAGTTAGTTAAGTTAGCGATTTGAAACCGATTAGTTGCAACTCTGAACGGAAAGAAAAATTTATCTCCAGCGCACGAGATTGTCTATTCAAAATTCTAAAGATATGCTGTTTTTAATTTTTCGTGATTTTGCTGTTGACTGGAATTTTATGTGGCGTAAGCTCCAAGAACGTCATATTGTATAAATGAAGTAAGCACACAAAATGTTAATAATAAAAAAACAAAAAAAAGTTTTGTAAATCCATCTTAATAAGAAAACTGAATATTGATATTTATTAACTGAACACTGTTTTTAAATATTTTGTGATTTTGCTGTTGAATCAAATTTTATGTTGCGTAAGCTCCAAGAACGTCATATTATATAAAGGAAGTAAGCACACAAAATGTTAATAATAAAAAAACAAAAAAAAATTTTGTAATCCATCTTAATAAGAAAACTGAACATTGATATTTATTAACTGAACACTGTTTTTAAATATTTTGTGATTTTGCTGTTGAATCGAATTTTATGTTGCGTAAGCTCCAAGAACGTCATTATTATAAAGGAAGTAAAGCACACAAAATGTTAATAATAAAAAACAAAAAAATTTTGTAAATCCATCTTAATAAGAAAACTGAACATTGATATTTATTAACTGAACACTGTTTTTAAATATTTTGTGATTTTGCTGTTGAATCGAATTTTATGTGGCGTAAGCTCCAAGAACGTCATATTATTATATATTTATATTCAACATAAATGAAGTAAGCACACAAAATGTTAATAATAAAAAAAAAAGTTTTGTAAATCCATCTTAATAAGAAAACTGAACATTGATATTTATTAACTGAACACTGTTTTGAAATATTTTGTGATTTTGCTGTTGAATCGAATTTTATGTTGCGTAAGCTCCAAGAACGTCATATTATATAAATGAAGTAAGCACACAAAATGTTAATAATAAAAAAAAAAGTTTTGTAAATCCATCTTAATAAGAAAACTGAACATTGATATTTATTAACTGAACACTGTTTTTAAATATTTTGTGATTTTGCTGTTGAATCGAATTTTATGTTGCGTAAGCTCTAAGAACGTCATATTATATAAATGAAGTAAGCACACAAAATGTTAATAATAAAAAAACAAAAAAATTTTGTAAATCCATCTTAATAAGAAAACTGAACATTGATATTTATTAACTGAACACTGTTTTTAAATATTTTGTGATTTTGCTGTTGAATCGAATTTTATGTTGCGTAAGCTCCAAGAACGTCACATTATATAAATAAAGTAAGCGCAGCAAATGTTAATAATGAAAACAAAAAAGTTCTCAATCCAAATAAGAAAACTGACAAAACTGATCTAATCATAAACTAATAGAAGAAAACTGAATTGAAATTGATATGATTAATTGAGAAAAGACTGAAAAAAAAGTGTATGCTAAAACTTAATGTTGCACTGGGAATTCTAAGCGTATACTGGTATCCTACTTTCAAAATTTTTAGTCCAAAGGAATGTGAGTCCCGAAGGACTATTGTTTTCGTTTCGCGATTTTGCATTGAATCACTATAAATGTCCGTTTGACTTTTCAAACTGTTGCCACCCAATGTTGGAGTCCTGCATTATATTTGAAAGAAATTAAATAATGAAAAATCTGCATAAATGTATGTATATTTTTCGCATTGTGATAAAACAACGGAACGTAGAGCCATCGAATTTTGAAGGACGTAATCCTCCTACGAATATGGACATCCGAAATCCTAATTTTGAAATTTGGAATTTGTTTTATGATCGATTTCCTATTTTGTAAAAGTTTAACGAGTTTTTTGAGTAACAAACTCAACGATTTAAAAGCGAGCAATGGCAACACTCTACCCGGGGGGAACATTTTTATCTCCAACGCGTCGAACTGTGTATCGGAAATTCTAAAGATAGGCTCATTTTAAAATTATTTTGCGACATTGCTATTGAACTGAACTTTATAGTTTAAGTACAAAGAACGTGATATTTAACAAATAAAAGGTAACACACAAAACGTTAAAAAAACGCCCCTTTGGAGGTAATTTAAAATCTGAAATATTTCAAACTTTTTTTTTCTTTCTTTTTGTAGTTTTGCTGTTGACTTGCATATGGTGTGAATGCGAAGAAAATTATACTTAAAATAGCTAAACATACAAACAAAGGAGTTATTAGGAGTGACTGTAATACCAGACTGGTGGACTGTAAGTTCAGTTAGAGCTTAAAAACCGGGCGACCGTTAAAATCTGTAACGTTTCAAATCCCCCCCCCATTTTAAATCCACAGCGTACATGAGTTAGTATCATTCACTAATACATCTTTCTTATACATGACGGTATATGCAGCAGCAAGTTATATCTAGATTGAGAAATTGTTCAACATATTTTTATACAAACACTTAACAGATATGTCGTATAGATCATGTGAAGTGTTTCAGTGCCGCTTATACAGTATTTTTGTGTAATCCGTAAATGTGAAATGCTTCTAATATTCCAGCAATGAAGAAAGGAAACTGGAAAAAAAGCGAAGGAAAAATATATCGAAGAAGAACGTGAAAGCATATGTTTATATTCACAGCATATTTTAATTATTAATAATATAACCCTAAAAAGTTTAATTAAAATTACTAATTACACATCGCTTTTGTGTCTGTAAGGCTATGAACTAAAATAGTATACAAACATTCATATTGCAGTCGTGTTACGTACCCCAAGTGCTGAAATTTTGAGAGTACGCCCTCCGAAATTTTTAAAAGGAATATCGAATATTGGTTCATTCACGTGTACTGTGTTATCAGAGGAATTCCAAAATCCACGGCTTTGGAAGTACGTGCTCCCGTTTCCAACAGAATGAAAAGACCATATTTCTAAAATCTGGAGGGAAAAAAAGCCATGCATTAAATGTTAGCATTCAATTTGCATACAGGACACAATAAATACAAATAAGTACATTTGTGATCTTTATATCATATTTGTCAGAAAGTCTTATTAAGTATGCTTTTCTACGTCTGAAAACAAAAGGATTCTGCAATATTTTCGGTTAGTTCGTTCTTGGACAGCGAGACGCGAAAAATATTTTTTAAATGAAAACAATTTACTGAAGAGCAATTTACTTTCTTAATCGTGAACTTTTTACTATTGAGGAGTTACCTAAAACTGAAATTTCATTAAGTTCAAAACTTGGAAACGGTAATTAAAAAATACCATTTCTAAAAGAATGACTTTTTATGTAAAAGCTATCTTCTCAAATGTGCGTTCGAAAATTTAATATGTATAGTTATTTTTTAAAGTATTTTTACATCTGTCTGAACGTATCTCTCAAAATTTTTATTAGTAACTAGCAGTCTGCGGCCAAAGCAAGTACACCTGAAACGAAAATGCATAAAAACATTTCAATACGAATGGAATTAGCTCATTGTTTCCAAGGAACAACCAAATGGTAAAATAATGTTTTGGGTTGCCAAACCAGGAAACGAAAACTTTTGAAACTTTATGTTAATATGTATACCTATGATGGTATGATTTAAATTTAATGTCATGTTAACATCTTTTTCTCAATATCAATATAAGACTTAACGTGGCAATAACATATCATGTCACTTATACTAATCTGAAGCAAAAAAGTTGCCAACAGCAGCAATTTACTTTAAAATGCTGATATTAAGGAAACATTTTCGACATAGAATGACGTCACATGGAATCGCATGCTTTCTTCAACGTCAGATTATGACATTATATAATAATAACATATTTAATACTTAGCAATGCTGTTTTTATTTCATATTTTGTAAAATTTACAAATTTTTGATTAACAAATTCTATGATTTGAAAGCGAAAACTTTTCGAAAATATAGCATTTTTAATATAACTTGCAAACCTGTTGCCACTAGGGAAAAGTGATGGCCAGAATTAGCATTTTCAGAGTTCTTAATTAATATCTTGGCTGACTAAAGTCGTACAAAGACGAGAATGGTCGAAATGGCTTCCTACGAATATATGGAATCCGAGGGTACTTCTTTTGAAAAACTGCCCTCCATTCCGGAAGAGATATTCTTACGACCAAACAGACAAACGCGCACAGATTTGAATAATATAGATACTACAAAAAAAAAATTAACACGTATTTTTTCCCTTCAGTAACTTATTGATGTGAAACAAATTTTTTTGTTGACGCTTCTCTGCGGATAGAAAACTAAATTATGTAAGGTTTTATTAAAAATTAACTATTATTTATACTATGTCTTTTTGAGTTTCTTCAAATTTATCGCCCTAACTAAAACCAGACTTTCACAAAGAATAGATTCGAATCAGCCATACTTTTACTGGATCATGACTAATGTTTTGTAATTAAAGAAATATTATATAACTAAAATTTATTGATAAGTTGCTGACACGAAACGATCATATTTGCTATTAATAAACCGGATGATGAGCCCTTTCAACGACATCAGTTTATAAAAAGCTCAAACAGCTGGGATTAAACCAGCTACAAAAACGATTATTTCACTTACTAATAAGAGCGGTAATGGAATTCGTTTCAGGATCGCTACTGTTTACTTTCTGAATTCAAATACTGGATCGTCGTAAAAAATTACCAAAGCCAAGGCAACAAGAATTGAGTTATTGTAATTAACTTTCATTAATAACTAACCTTCTGCTGCGAATTTGTTATTAGCTGACTGAATATACATATGTCATAAGGCAAAGAGAAGAGAAGACGGCCTTTTAAATCAACCATAATTACTAATAGGACTTAAAATATATGCTATATTAATATTTGAATGATTTTCTTTAATTCTAAGCACAGCCTATGATTCACTGTTTGATTGATACTCAGTGATTTAATGTTTTTAGAGAACTCTGCATGAATATTTAAAAATGTTATTATGTACTTCGTTGCTATTCGTTTTGAGATATTTATTCATTTTCCTTTCAACTTATTATTATTTACATCGCAAAATTTCCATCTTTAACTCTTTGAAGGACAGGAAAAGGCAATTAACTTTTTCAGCAAAACTTTTATTTACTATATCAGGTGTTCAAATGAAATTATGTGCGACAATTACACATATTTTGTCCAAAACGCGTGAAAGAGATAACCACTGCTGGTAGTTAAAGTCAGTGACCACCGCCCACAGAACACATCCCTACAAATCAATCTCTATGGTACTCATGGAAACAGTTTTATTTTTTAAGCATAGTGCAACTTTGCATGTGCTACATTCTCACATTGTTCTTACAGGCTTTTTTTTTTCTGGTGCTGCAGAGTACACATCGTCGTGATGTTCTCTTCGATGACTGATGCTTATTTTCTTGACGACGAATTGCTGCATCAACTACTGCCTTATGTTTCTTGATTGCCGTCTAGTGAGTTACAAGGGAACTTTAGAAACGGCCAGTCTTGGAAACCACTCACACGAGTGAGTAAGACGTTCGATAGAAAAGGTGGTTACTGTAGGTAACCACCACTTTTCAAACAGTTAAGGTAAACGTATCATTTATTTTTCGTTTAAAACTGTAGATGTGCACAGATTAGGTTTCATAGATTCCTTTGCATATCAGCTATTTAATTAAATATAATTCAAAATTATTTGCTAATTATTAGATTTTTAGATTTATGAAATATTTTACTCACTTCGAGAGATCTCTCAAATGCGCCAGTTTGGCAAATAGTATCCGAATGAGTGACTTTCTCTCCAACGACTATTACACGATCCCCTTCATCCAGAAACTGGGCAATGTTGGAAAGACATAACATTCCATCCACAGCGAAGATCCATGATTGTTTGCTGTTTATCATATGCTTAGACTGAAATATGGTGAAATAAAATGCAGTGAAACACGTACTGTTTAAGTATTTAAATAGTTTAAATAGTTAAATACATCTGATAAAAAAAGATTGCATTGCATTAACGTTAGCCTGCTGTAAAATCAAAAAACGCCTACAATCTGTAAGATGTTGATTAACCAATTATTTTATATTTTGGATCTTTACTGTTACTTCTCCCTTCCGTTTTCCTGCCAGAATGCAAATTATTTCGCGTGTTAATCTGAGCTTTTAAGACTCTAAGAAACAGCATGTTCTGCCTGTCGAGGCCACGTTACTAAGTTTGCTAGATAAGAAAAAATTTGCAGTCTTCGATCTTGCATTATGATTGCAGATACTTAATATCCACGCAGGTTAAATTTTGAGCCAACTTCGCCTTGACTGATTTGTGTAGCGTTTAGTTACTAGTTTATTTGATTTTAAATTTTACATTTGAACTTAATGTTACGCTTCTGTTGTTACTTTAGATTTAGTGATAATTCGCTGCCAGTCTCATGTTAAGTTTATGATTATCAAAAAACTTTCTAATCCTTACAAAGTACTTAGGTCATTTTTAGAATTTCAAATCTGTCTATCCAAATTCAGCGAACCCTCATAAAGACCACGACCCCTGGTTCCAGGCGATTTTGGCCTATCACACTGGTGCTCAATATAGTTGACTATTTATATTCTAAAAAGTAATGATCCCTTTCAAAAATGATAGTCAGTATGAGGTGGTCGTCATGATAGGCGTCGAATTTTTGTAATAAATAAGAGCATATTTACCTGCAAGCATAGTTACAGGATACGAAATTAAAAGCATTTTTCTAGAAATTCACGAGTTGCTTTTGTTACTATTACTATTATTATTATTTTGATCTATGTCTTCCACTTAATATTTTTAAAACCGTTACAAGCGAGTACATTGTGTTTAATTATATCAGATTATCCTTTTTTATAAACAACTGTTAAAATCAAACGTACATCAAGAAATCTTTGAAATTTAACTCACTTTTAAGAAATGCAAAGTTTCGATCAGAATATCCGTAGTGTTTATCTTGCTTAAGATAACTGCAAATCCATCCATAGGCCGTCTTAAACTGTACTTTTCAGGCCATGGATAGTCTCCAATAGTTTCTAAAGTGACACTTGAAACAGCAAAGCCTTTATTATTCAAAGATCGAATAACAGAGAGAGTAACTGAAAAAAAAATATATGCATATTAAGTTTCAAAGAATTTTTTATTTCCCATAAAGAAAACTATCCTTAGCACTAAATTCAGATAGAGTAACTTATATTTTCTGACAAATATACAATTTTGCATTACTTATATGTAATACTAATAATGTATAGCAAGAATTAAATATAGATAAAAAATTTGATAAACCCATTCATTTAATTATCGAATATGTTATCTTTCTTCCTAGGTATCAAAGTAAAATTGACTCTTAACAGTCAAATTCCCTTAAATTATATCAGTATGATAATTAATCGGGATACTGAGTGAAATGAAAGTACTGAGAATTTTTTTAATATTATCTAAAAGAAACTGATGGCCACTTTTTTAAAGTTTTTTGAGAACTGCTTGGTTAGTAGAAAAAAATTCTCTTTCTCATTATATCTTGATCTTTAAATATTTAAAAAATCTTATATGAACACCACATAACTTCCTTGTACGGCCTATTAAATTATACACATTTTTTGCTGCACTTTACTTAAAATTTATTTCCTTAAATTACTCTTACTTAATTAACAGGTCCCTCAAGGCAAGCTGGAAACGACAGTAATTTGCGAATTTTGAAATAAAACATCCAAAGCAATTTTTGTCCTCAAAAGTCAAACTCCGTAAAGTTTCGTTTTTTTTTTTTTTTTTCCCGTAACGAGTAGTAAAACTTTTCCAAATGCAAGTATAGGATCCGGTAGACCGCATTTAAAGTTAGATTCCGTTATATGTCAAACAAATTTTTAAATTTGAAATTGCCCAAACATATATATTTTCGTTATTTAACCCTTATTTGCATCATGTCCACTATAGTAGACAAAAGTTTAAATTTGTTTAGTCTTCTGTAAATGCCTTAACAGATTCCATTCCGGCGTTTATTCATTCTATATTATTAGAAATTTCAACTGTCGATCATAGATGGCTGTATAGCATCACTAAGTAAAGCATTGCTATTTGGAAAATGGCTGTTACTTCTGTTTCCAAGTTAGTACAATTTCTCATAGTAAACATTATATAATATAGCTTATATTTCCTTATACTGCCATTTTTTATCCATATTTAGTAATTTTAGACATTTTATGTTAAATGTCAGTTTGAGAAAATTGTGGAGTGGGTACATAAAGACTCTTAACAGTCAAATTCCCTTAAATTATATCAGTATGATAATTAATCGGGATACTGAGTGAAATGAAAGTACTGATAATTTTTTTTAATATTATCTGAAAGAAATTGTTGGTCACTTTTTCAGTCTTTTCAGAACTGCTTGGTCAGTAGAAAAATGTTCTCTTTCTCATTATTTCTTGATCCTTAAATATTTAAAAAATCTTATATGGACACCACATAACTTCCTTGTACGGCCTATTAAATTATACACATTTTTTGCTGCACTTTACTTAAAATTTATTTACTTAAATTATTCTAACTTAATTAACAGGTCCCTCAAGGCAAGCTGGAAACGACATCAAAAACGGAAAATTTTGAAATTAAACATCCACAGCAATTTTTGTCGTTAAAAGTCAAACTCCTTGTAGTTTCGTTTCGTGTTTTTTTTTTTTTTTTTTTTTTTTTTTTTTTTTTCTTTTCGTAACGAGTAGTAAAACTTTTCCAAATGCAAGTACAGGATCCGGAGATGACATTCAAAGTTAGATTCCGTTATATGTCCAAAAAATGTTTAAATTTGAAATTTCCCAAACATATACATTTTCGTTATTTAACCCTTATTTGCATCATGTCCACTTTAGTAGACAAAAGTTTAAAGTTGTTTATTCTTCTGTAAATGCCTCAACAGATTCCATTCCGATGTTTATTCATTCTATATTATTAGAACTTTCAACTGTCGATCATAGATGGCTGTATAGCATCACTAAGTAAAGCATTGCTATTTGGAAAATGGCTGCTACTTCTGTTTCCAAGTTAGTACAATTTCTCATAGTAAACATTATATAATATAGCTTATATTTCCTTATACTGCCATTTTTATTCATATTTAGTAATTTTAGACATTTTATTTTAAATGCCAGTTTGAGAAAATTGTGGAGTGGGTAGATAAAGATCTACCAAAAAGAGTGAATTGAAACCCAAATATACTGCTTATCAAGCCCAAATATACTGCTTATCAAGCCAAAACACCACTGAAAATGTTTATGTTTAGCAAGGAATTTCTAGAACATTTGACATTTGAATCCAATAGATACAGGTTACAAAATCGTAGCAAAATCAATTCAATCACAATCGACGAAATGAAGCTTTTTTGGAGGATCTGTATGTACATGTCAGCTGTAGACTTACCATTTAGAAGATGGCAATGATCACTGCAAACAAGGCAGGAAACGATCTCAAATGCAATGACCGTAAATCGTTGGGAAGAGATTTGTATGTATGTACGTATAATGCATGCTGTCAACTGTAGTGAACAAACTGTAGCAATTATTTAAAACGAAATTTGAATAAAATTAATTTTTTTTATCATTACTTAATTTATTTTAAGTAGAAAAAATACAAACATTTTCGTTTAACTTCTCTAGATTATTTGTATGCAACAAAGGGTTAAACACTTGTGTGCAACAAGGGGTTAAAACGGTATGACCAAGCGCGAAAATAAAAGCTGGGTAAAGACTTTTAAGGCTAGTAAGAAGGGTGAGTAGATATGTATATATAGGGATTGGACAAAAATATTGAAACGCCGAAATAAAAAACATATTGCTGTGACTAATGCGGTGTAGGAATGACGTTGGCATTCAAAACAGCTTGCAGTCATTACGTATCAGAATGGACATCTACAAGTCCTGTATTTTTTGCCAGGGAATCATGTACCATTCTTCTTGTGAAAAATGTTGGCAACTTTAGTTAGTGATGATGGCAGAGGATAGCGCTTGCGCAGATATCTCTCCAAACTAGCCTACAAAGGCTCAATAATATTGATATATGGTGACTATGGTGGTCATAGTGGATGTTAAAGTTCACCCTCGTGCTCAAGAAACAGTCCTGGACGATGCAAACTGAATGAACAGGAAGTTTTGGAATCAAGAATTTGGAACACAGTATCACCATTCAGGAGCAAAATGTATACCAATGGGTTGGATGTGATCAACCAGAATGGTCACATAATCCTTTTCAGTAATGTGACCTTGCACAGGTCCATTATGGGGTCCATAGAATATCATGGGTCCCATATAATACCACAATGTGGCTTCTCCAACCATGACCAAACCCCCGTCATGCTTAACTCTCGCCAGCAAAAAAATCTCTATCATACGCTTTGGATGGCGCTTTCCAGCCGTAAACTCACCCAAAAGTCGGGGACAGCGTGAAGCAAGACTCAACTGACCAAATGGCAGTCTTCCAGGTTTTCGCAGTCCAGGTTTTGTGATTTTAGCGCCATTTTCTTCTCTTACAAACATTTTTTATGTGGGGATTTTTGATTGCTACTTGCACAAACGTACCCTCTTTGTGGAGCTCCCTGCATATTGTTTTGGTGCTGACAATGTTTGCGAGTGCAGCATTCAGTTCAGCAGTCACTTTTGCGGCTACAGTCCTCTTATCTTTCATCACAATCCTCTTCAATGACCATCTGTCATGATCACTCAACACACTTTTTCATTCGTGCTATAGTCAGTTAAAAACTTAACCCCTCTAAACACGAAACAGTTCTGCTATTTTGGTTATGGAACACCCACCATACCAGCCCAAACAATTTACCCACGTTTGAATCCATTTAGCTCCAACGGGATGCACTCACAACTACACAGAACATTGTCTTGATAACGAATGACACTTGAAATATATTGAGGATGTTGTACAGGTGGCGTTAGTGGTCAAACACATCAGGGCCACCAACAACTTTTGCTAGCGTAAACATCTCATTTCAAGCATGCATTTTCATGAGGTGTTTTTTACTTTTCTCCAACGCTTGCATATACATTTATTGCTACCAGTTGCAATAAGAAAAGGTGACATTGTAGCAGTTCCATACACAAAATTTCAACGTTCTTTGACCAATCGTTTTTGATTCATTCATACATATATACGTACATAGATACTTACATAGATACTTACATAGATACGTACATACAAACGTACATACATAGCGAAAGAAACTGCTTTGAATCCATTTTTCAATTTGTTTTGATTATAAAAAGTTCTTTGTTCTATGCATACGTACGAACGTCAAAAAATAGACAAAAAAGCAGTTAAAATGGAATGGAAACGGTTAAAATGATTATTTCCATTAAAATCAGAAATTCGAAATTTTTCAAGATTACACTACTTCCTTAACTTCATACAAGGAACTAAAAATGCTTAAATAGCATAGCTATAACTTCTGTTGAATTAAATCATTGCTAAAATAATATTTGACATCCTGTGTCCAGGAGTACCCATTAATTAATAATTCGCATTAGAATTTATCCAATTTAGTACATACTTTGGTTAATGATTTGTTAATAGCTATCATATTATATTATAATATAACTGTTATAATTATTATATTTCAATATTAATTAACTAATTAATTCATTATTAATTATAATTGTTATATCATAATACTATAATGATTATATTTATAATTGGGTATAAATTCGTAAAGCAGCTGCTAATGCTAATGCAGCATTATATAATTTCAATATAATATAATTTTAATATACTCGTATGTTTGCAACATTATCAGGATCTGGAATGTAATAGCTAACCACCTGGAAGGATTAGCTATCCTTAAATTAGGAAAAGAAATTCGGTTTTATTGCTGATTTTTATTTACTACTTAAAAGAATTCTCAAACAACTTGGCATTGTCAAATACTTCAACAAAAGTAAAAATTAATTTTGTTTCTCTGTCTACGAAGCAATTACCTACACATAGATTCGTTTACAATTAAGCTTCAGAGTCTCTTCCATGCATTTTACGAAGTTCAGCTGTTTGGAATGCAAAATATGCATCCGACTTGAAGTACGATGGGGGGGGATGTCAGAAATACTTTCAG